AAAGGACGGGGGCGCATTTGATCGTATTTTGGCCCCTTTTGATTTTTCAGACCAAACCTAGTTGAATCATATATATAATGAAAGAGAATGAACTCCCGATCATTTTGATGCTAAATTCAAGGTATTTTGAGTGAATTATAAGTATTAACTGGGTCTATCTTCACTACATACTAAATGGTTAGGGTAGTCACTGACATTCGCCAACAATGTCAGCATCCGTCTGAAAAAAATTAAATAGAGATAAATGCTGATTCATAATTATTGTGATAGGCCTGTGTTCAGGCTACATTTTCATAATAAAACTATTTATTTAAAATAATATTATGAGCTATTTGAATCAAATACAAATTTTTCCGTTAGATGCAATTTGTACCAATATTACGTATGGCATCATATTTGTCGTTTAATTATTGTATTAATGAAACCTCCTCCCCAGTTTGTTCACTTCCTGTTCGATAGAGCTTTTGAAGCGCTACAAAACTAGCTACTTTTTAAGATTTAAAAAAGTGGGCCACTATGCCAACTCCTAAGAACACTATTTTTTTAGACCTAATTTCTGCCCTTTTTGACTGATATTCAATGGTTTTCGAACAGAATGACTCTTATTTGTCTTCATATAAATGTCATATTTAGAATCAGCACAAAAAACTGAACCGATCTATATGTTTTTCAAGCCGTTTCTACGACTTTTTTTTTCGTCAAATTTTTACCCCTGGTCCCCCTCAGGGATATAGGAAAAAATGAATTTGATGAAAACAACTATTTTATTGCTTATTGATGGGTCTTCTTGCTTTCAAAAAGCATTTTATAAATTTAGAATAGGATTTCCACTGCCTAAATGGCTTTTTAATCAGATTCATTTTTTCCTATGTCCCTGAGGGGGGGGGGGGGGGAGCAGGGGTAAAAATTTGACGAAAAACAAAAGTCGTAGAAACTGCTTGGAAAACATATAGATCGGTTCAGTGTTTTGTGCTGATTCCAAATATGACATTTAAATGAAGACAAATAAGAGTCATTCTGTTCGAAAACCATCGAATATCAGTCGAAAAGGGCATAAATTAGGTCTAAAGAAATAGGGTTCTTAGGAGTTGGCCATATATGTCAAACCTGAAAATTGAATTCAATTATTGAAAATTTACTTCAACTATTCAACTATTCAATTATTCAGTTATTCACTTTTCACCAGGTGTGGGTGTGGAGAAGGGAGTTCGGGGGGAGACGATATACATATCTGTACACACACACACATCACGCGGCCAGGTGTGGGTGTAGAGAAGGGAGTTCGAAAAGTGAATAATTGAATAGTTGAAGTTGAACTGTTCAATAATTGAATAATTGAAGTAAATTTTCAATAATTGAATTCAACTTTCAGGTTTGACACTACTGTTCCGAATAAATATAGAATGTTTAAGCATATTGAGGAACAGCACTATAAGAAAAAAGACAGTGAAAAGAGAATTTTTCATTTTCATCCTACTGCGTACAAGATTGTTAGCATGATCAAGGCAGTACTAAGATGGAAAACAATTTATAGTTGGATCAGTACAGAATTTCTCTGAATATTTAGGTTTGATTTCAAATAAAAATAAATTTGGCTTTCATGAAAATTATAAAACTAATATTCAAAAGATTTCTTCTTGCGTGTTTATTCAAAGAAAATAGATTATTGAACTATGATGTCATTTTGTCACAATTGTACACCACACCATCCACTTGCTTTTATAAATGTCATCGAAATTGTTGGTACCAAAACCGATACTTTATTCCAATTTTTTGCATATTAATTAAAATTATTTATATAAAAATGATTGTGGTTGTATTTTTCTTACTTGAACATTGTCTTGGATTCAAATATATCAATATTGGTTTACCAATTCTTAATCAAATAATATCTCAAAATAGTCAGTCATCCATTTGTCTTATGATTTAATTCTTTTGAATTCTTTTTAGCCTCAAAACTTATGAACGATAGATTTTCCCCCCAAGAATGCGGTGTTTTACTTCTCGATCTAAATTAGGTAATAAATTTTTGAAAAAGTTGCCTTTATGATAAAATTAGGTGAAACGTTTGCAGTTTCAGTAATTTATTAAAACAGTTCGTGTTTTATTTACAATTACTTGTTTTGATAAAAAAATTTCAACTAACTTATGAAGCCGTATTTTTTGTTTTCGAATAAGAAATCCAATGTTTTCTGCAAAAACATTCTCTAGTCTTTGAAAAAGCAAGAGCTGAGTGTTAACATTGTCCACCATAATTCTAGTAAATGCGCAGCAATGTTTCATTCAATCGATATATGATTTTTCTGGGGGGAATAGATGAAACTTGGGCCGACTGTGTATTACCAATCAATATAATAAATAATACTATTTTTTCATTACTATGGTTTTGGTTAATTTTTTTATTGTTTATTTCAAACATTATTTTATATGCTTCCATCACCAAGTCGATACTTTCTTGGTCATCATCTTCAAGCTCACGGTTTATATGAAATGCAACACAATGGGACTCTACATGAATTTATTCGAAAATGTTCACCAGATTTGATACTTATGCTAAGATTATATGAAGTCGAACTGGGCAATACATCAACAGATGAAATTATCGGTCAACTTTTTATTACGTTCAGAACAAATTATGTTGCGACAGAATATTCACTAGAAACGGAACTCCAATCATTCCGTCATTTGTGTTTTGCTTATGATTCTAACTAGAATTGTTAAAAAAATATTGTTTTTTTTATTGTTACTATATCTACATATTTTTAATCGCTCTTGTTTTTATGTTCTTCGTTCAAAATAAAAATGCATGTCATTTGCATATAATTAAGCAAGAATGCTAATCATCATTTAATTCAAAAATATCATCACTAAGGCGACCATTTCCAAAATATATGTATTTTATACTCCTCCTCAATGGTGTTTTGCGAATATTACGATATCTATTGGTTAAAGAATCGACCAATAGAATCATTATTTTCGTTAGGCTGGATGATCGGGTTCGGCTAGCATCTACGACGTATCCGTTTCATTCAAGAATTATTTAGATTTAGTAATTTTATTATTTTAACAAGAATAGTTAATAAATAACAAAAAATACACATCTTTGAGATACATAAAGAAAAATGATGTGAACAATAAGATAATCACAAAAAGAAAGATCACAAAATAGGAATGACGATGAAGATAACAAAAAGTTTAGTATAAATACAAGACATAAATAGAGGAAAAAAAATTAAGAATAAAGACATGGCACATACACCATAAGCAAATATTTTTGATTTATCGAAAATAATTAATTGCAGAGCTGTTGAATCAATTGTCTCATTCTGAAATAGAACAGAATAAATAATTATATAATAAAAATTATACGGGAGATCTACTGTTTTTTTATCTCGACTACAAAGTGAATGTCTTTGACAACCAATTGTTTTCTTTGCTTGTCGTTTCTAGAAAACTTCGAATTCGATTAAATGCTCCTTGAAATATGTTTCTTTAATTAATTCTAGAAATGATAAAATAAAAGTTTAATTTTCTGAAATAATATTTTGCTGTTCATACCTTTTATTTTTTCCATACGATCATTAAATACGATGCCATTTTTTATTTCTTCATTCGTATAAAGCTTACGAATTGACGAGCAGAGAAGGACAGTTGGTTCAATAGGTGGTTCTGAATCAAGTAAATTAATTCCATGATAAAACTAATAATATACAAAATTGAAGATGTGAAAATTTATCTCACAAGTATACCATTGGCGGAATATCAGAAAGAGGAGTTATTACTACCTTCTTTCATAAAATAATAAACAAATAATAAAACAAAAGCTATTCTTTAAAAAAGCTCAGTAGTTTTTGATGACTTAATATTGTTAAATGTGGTTCGTATATTTTATCTAATACCCTCATCATTGAATTTTGTTGAGCTCGAAATTCTTTTACATTATTTTCTAATGATTCAAGTCGAAGATTTATTTTATCAATAGCACCACGAATATCAATATCTGTTGATACATCTTCTTCAACTGATCATTTTCGTTGCTTTTATGAACAATTAGCTACAAAGGAACCTATAATGTAAAATATATTGATATTCGATAATTTGTCAAGTTTCAGATTACTTTTAAGAACAGCTTCAGGTGTTGGTGTTGAGGGCTGTGTAAATGTTTGTGCAGGTGGTTGACGACGATGTGGTTGTGGTATATAATAATGAACAGCAAAAGGTAAAGCAATACATAAGAGGAAAACACGTAGTTGTGTTGCTTTCCATTTGCCAGTAGATTCTATATCAGCAGGATGTTGTTTTATAGTGTGAGGATATTTGATGCTAAGTAAAAACCGATTCATTTGCGTATGTACTGGTTTAGGAAAAATTGTTTTTCATTAATTTAGTAAGAATACTAGATGAATTTCCAAAGTTAGATGAAAATAATCTAGGATCGATTGAACAGGAATTGAAATAATGATGATAGTAGTGAGCGTCCATAGACTCCGCAAATTTTAAAATTTTTTGTTTTTGAACTTTCTATTTGTGCAACACAATGGCTCCGGTATTGTTGAGTACGTGGTGGACAGGTTTCTGTATAATCTTTATGAGGATACAATATGTGTTTGTGTTTTCTACGAGAAACTCCCGTGAATAAGCAATATGTGTATGCGAAATAGCCATTGTGTGCTGTAATTTTATTACATTTTGCGTGTGCAGGGAGATCACCACCAATAATTAAAACATCAACTTCAAATTGTGTCAAACCTTAACAGAAGAAGTTCCAAGAAAACTAGATGAGGACAATAAAACCAGAAAAGAAGGTTTGCTGAACCCTTTAGACTCATAAAACTCTTGTCGTACTTATTCTCTATTTTTTTTAAATTAAAACCTCAATTACCTTCATCATCAATGGCAATTAATAAACCACCACTTTGTAAAACCATAAGATTATGAACAATACATGATAATAAACGATCAGGATCTGGTGTAATCGTCGAATGCCATAAACCAAACAACATCATATTTTTATCATATTCTCTCACAGGATGAGGTATTTCGGCTAGAACAGCCACCACCTACAAAAAAGCATAATTAAAAAAACAGAAATGAAATAAAACAGAAATTATAATTGCACAATAGCTATCAACTTAAGAAAAGAATACTGTTACTCACAGGCCAAATAGAGGAATTAGTTGATATAGTTAATGGTTTACCATCTGTTGATAATATTAAACTTAAACGATTTTTCGAGGATTTAGTTCGATAAAAATTCTCTGTACGAATATAAATAAAAAAATAGTTTGTTAATACTATATTAGAGAAGATTATAATTACCAAATAAAATGACACATGGTGGACTATTTTCAGGATTTTCTTGATACCATTTTATAAGCTGATAATTTTTAATAGTAATTGAACGAATTTCATCAGCAACATCAAATAATATTAATTCTCAATTAATTTTGTGCATTTGATTTTGATATTCATTATTGGAACATCTTTGTTTAATATGTTGTAATTTTTTAAAACATGATGAACAGTAGATTATTGTTTTATATGAAAATTTCACATTTAAATTATTCCAAAGTTTATCACAATTATTTGGAATTTCTCTGAAAAAAAGAAAAAAAATAATTTAGTAACAAAATAATACAGACACAGTTCATGTATTCGAGTTGAACAATATGTACTATTTAGCATCTTACATCGCAGATATTCCTCGAATTAGATTAAGTAAAGCGCTGCTATTTGTTTTATTTATATTCGCTTGTCGAATAAACAGAACTACTTTCATTTTTAGTTGAGTTTCAGGTGAATATCTGGATAATGGATAAATTTCTTCATGTGCATCTGGATCATCCATCTGCATCATCTGAATTTCATTGTCGAAATCTATCACAAAAAAAGACAAATAATTTTCAATCTATCTTATAATACCTGACTTCAGCCTTTAGTTATCTTCATCAACATCTCAAGATAACAGCAAATATTACCTTCATCAATAACAGCATCATCATCTTCAATCAATATTTCACCTTCTTGCACATTTATTAAATTTAAATTCTTTTCTTGACTATCAGGTTTCAATGAATCAAATTGTTGTTGATGCACTGACGAAAATGAACTATAAAGACCACGGCGATACTTTTCTTTGTCTTTGTTTGGTTTGTTGACGTTCTAAAGAAAGAAGAATAGAGATATCTCGATGATCAACTTCTTTAAATACTCACGACGAACTAATTGTTGTTCATATCGATATTTACATTGGATACCAAATAGATTTCTCTCCATTTGATAATCTGATGTAAAAAAAATAAGCACAAAAAATCTAGACTTAGTCACAATCAAAAATACTTATCGATGCATAAATCAACACTTACTTATTTTAACACAGTATGAACAATTACTATAACAGAAAAGTCTTTGTAATCATAAAAACAAACAAATGACCGTGCATGATATCATATGATATCATCCTTTGTAAGAAGCCATTGGTGTTCTCCATTCCTCTTTCTTTTTCTAAAAGATGCCACGACCTCTTACGTAAGCGTGATGAATCACAACGAAACACGCTGGCTACACTTAGCGCATGTGATGATACATGCCACCACATGTATGAAGCATGATAAGTGTCGTGTAATACGTATATAGACCGTACGCATTGACTAGGAAATACAAAGAAAGATGTCGTTACATCAACTCTATGGTTTTGGTTCGGTTTCACGATTATATTTGATCAGAAGAATCTAACATCATAAATAGTCTCTATCAATGATATATATTTCATATGCTGCACATATGAGCATTTCAAAATGAGTTTCATCTTAAGTGCATCACTGGATCTTTCATTGGACATCGATTTGATGACTCATGAAAATGTGATCATAGACTATTGGATTATAAACAAGGTAAATCTTTTTATCTTGTCTCTATTTTACAATAATTTTTATTTAATGAAAGAACTACAAATATTTGAATTAAACAAACTTATCATACATCTTTAGAACAACGTACAATTTTTTGTTTTTCTTCTTTGATCAATGTTCTTTCTTTTCTTTTCTTTTCAGTTCAGTTCAAAATGATCTGATTTAAAAAAAATTGCATGTACCCATTGAATCAAATACCGTAGTAAGATTATTTTATTCGGTTTTCTTCTTCTACTTCTCTTTTTCTTATATAAAATCTTTTTAAAATTATCTTTCTTCTATTAATCTAACGATCGATTGTCGATCGTAATATGAGTGAATGGACGGCAAAGTCTCAATTGTATGATTTGAATATTCAAAAAAAAGATGAAAATTCCTTTTTCTTAAATTTTATATGACATGTTAGGAGTATATTTTATTTATTGAAAAAAAAACCAATTCAGATAAATCTTTTAGTTTACATTCTCAAATTGTTGACAAATGTAAAGAATAAAATACTATAATTAACAAAACAAATATAGCATAATATAATAATCATTGAAATATATTAAAATCCAATTTCTTTTATTTCACATACAGTAATTTGATTCTTTTCTTTAGTGCTAAAATAACTAAAATCATGTGCTAATTTAACAATGGATGTTCAAACGAATTATCACATGCTTATGTATGATTTTTCTTTTTTCGTTGATTGCTTAAGTGGGAAAAAGCGTTATTTATTATGAGTCTAGAGCGAATCTTGATGAAATTTAAACTAAAACTGAAATTCAATTGAAAAACAATATCGAACGAAGATAGTGGTTTGTGGATTTTTAAAAACAACATATCCATATTTTCTTTTTTTCGTCTAGTATCTGCTGTTGAATTACTTATTGTTAATGATAAAATTAAACCTATGGATTTAAATAAAAAAAAAACGTGATCGAGAAATAATTTCTTTTGGTTATTTAAAAGAATCTATTGAAATAATTGCATATGTATATCATATTTCAAATTTTGTAAATTATATAGAAAAAATTCAATTAAATTATGAAGATATTATTTAAACTTGATAATTTTAAGAAACATTTAGCTAATATACAAACATCGATTACTGAACTCGAAGCCTGACATAGTTATACAAATAAAAGGCAAAAAAAGAAGAAAATCATATTATTATAGAAATTACAATATTTAGATGATTCATCGAAATCAATAACGGAAAAAGAATCCATTTTTTCTTTTTCTTTATTCAAATTTTTGAATTATGTCATGTTTATTTTGATTTGATTAAAACAAAAACTCAAAGAAGATCCAGTGGTTTCAATAAAATATGTTTACATCATGAAGCATTTTCACCTTTTAATAAAGATCATAAGGTATATATGATTGTAGCGTAACAACTCGATATGAAAATGTTTGTTTTATTGTGGTAAAAAATGGAAATAGTTTTTATCAATTTTAAGTATTATTCCTTGTTCATATGTTTTATCATCTTTAGAAGCTGATTTACAAGAAATTCAACAAAAAAGCAAATAATAAAGAAATAGAAGATGATATACGTGAAACATGTTATTTATTTGATAAATATGGTATTATTTGTGTTAGTGTTACTGAATTGAAGCATCCTATGATTTCATTGAATGAATAATTTACAGAAGAAGAAGACGAAGTTGATGAATTAACACGTAAACCTCATATTGATGCTGATGAATAATTTGTATTTAAGTAGCTAGAAGTCATTTTTTTGAATAGTTTCATTCATTTTTTTCTCTTTTCATATAGATGCAACTATGACGATCTTGTATATATTTTAACAAATAAACAACACTAAAACATGATCGATATTTTGTCAATAATAAAATGAACAAAATAATATACATACTGTCTTATAATAAGTACAATTACTTTTCTGTGTAATCTCTATAATTCATATATTTCTCTTTTTTTCCTTTTATGTTCTCCTTTAGCTATATCTATGGTTCGACATACTTCTTTCGTCATTTTTGCTTTTTTTCTTTAATCTCTTGTTATTATTGCTTCGGTTTCTTTACATGTAAACTTAGATATGAATGACAAAAAAGAAAAATTCCTTTTTTTTTGTTTTACCTTCATTGCTTTTATATGAATGAAGAAAAAGTTAAATTATTTATTATCATTGTATTTAATTGTTCAATACCCATCTGATGATGCTACAAGGAAAAAACATCGAAATATCATACATGTATTTTATTTCACATCCTTTCATATTTAATTCAATTTTTTTTATTTATTTCATTGAGGAATTTGTTGGAATACATTTTCATCATGATATAGCTTGTTCTATGTAAAAATGATGAGTTTTAAAATGATTTGAGAATTTCTGAGATCCTCGTAATATGTGTGAGTAGGCAAACGAAGACAGAAGTAAGTCTTTATTTCATATTTTTCTTTCTTATTAATATTGGACAAAAGTTGCACATGTGTGAGTCACTTATTATTCTCTTTTATCATATGCTTGCTACCTATCATTATAATGGGCTCTCTCTTTCTCTCTATTGTTCCCTTTTAACATTATGAAGAACAACAGCAAGACAAAATAGAAAAAAAGAAACAGAAAAAGAAAAAGTATATGCATAGGTGGATCGATAACTTTGTTCGTTCAGCACAAAACAAATATCCTCACCAACTCTAATACACATTATATCAAAGACATCAATACTAAATTTCTTTTATTGATATCACATATGTGTATGTATCTTGTTAAATTATCTTCTCGTGTTGTAATATTAATTTCTTTAAGCTCTATTTAATTTTGTTTTGATTTCTCTTTTTTTTTGTCTCATTTCTTTTTCTTTTCCTGCTCGTGTTACTTACACATGTGTATAGAAAATAAATCGATATGCACACGTTTTGTTTTTCATCAATAATAACGGCTTCATTTTCTACGATGTTGGCATTTTGTTCAATAAAAAGAATAATAATAATAATAAACTAAAACATCACTATATTCTTCAAAATTTGATTAAAATCATAACTTTTACATAGATGCAATCAATTTCATATGTTACAATAGAGAAAATAATTTATAAATGTCTTCGAAATATCGAAATAAAAGTGTAATTTTTTTTTATCTGAATGTGTCTATTTGATAAATAAAAAAGGAGATAAGCCGATTCATTTGATTTGCTGTGATATGGGAATTGAATAAATGAAAGAACAAAGCTAATCAATCTCATCATTAGAATCATCTAAGCAAATTTTCTTCTACTGTGACTATCATTCGCAAGAAAAACAATATAGATCTTGTTTTCAATGTTTTCCATCTGACCTCTAAACCTGAATTATAGTCAACCGTATCACCATTGCTATGAATTTGTAAAAAAAAATATGACGACTTTTTTATTTCATCTACTACAAAATGTATAGTTCGATTGAGCCAAAACATTGTTCGATCATTGTAGAAGATGAGAATTTATGCATTATAATGGTTTTTGTCTTTATTTGAAACATGCAAGCCTCTTTCATCCTTTGTCTATCCATCTTCGTTCTTTTTCTGTCTTTTTTTTCTCAGTCAATTGTCTTGAAGTGAGATGGAATTAAATAAAGTTTGATGTGCATAGCATCGATAGATCTTCGATATGTTAATTTTCCGTCCTTCATTTTATTCTTACTATTCACGTCTTGCTTTTTAATATTGATGGCTGATGCGTTCTAAACATCACATATTAGATTGTTTACCAACATTACATACAAATATTACATTTAGAGATGTTCTCTCACTCTTTTCTCTCTATCCAGCACTAATCATTAATACTAATTATAGCTGTTTATCTAAACCCAGATACAAGCCATTCGATGAGTAATTGAGCTTACCGAAATAATGTGATTTCTCTCTCCTTCTCCTTTTCAACGACGTATTATGATCAACAAGAGTTATATCTGCTTCACATGACTCCAATAGCTCTCTACTGTATAAATAAAAATTACGTAGCTTTTCATATTCTCTATCTCAAATATGTTGTTTATAGATGAGTGATGCAGAGAACAGAAAAAAATATCTACTCATCACAATTCAAAAATACCCTGTTTCACTCTTGCAATGCAGAAGTAGCTCTTCTAAAATTTTACCACGAAATAAAAGAATTCTTATATGTATAATAGCTAGCTTCTTCATGAAGGACATGTAAACAGTCCTGTATCAATAGAGCGATGTTTACTACTTTTTCTTTTTCTGGCCGTCGTCTTAAGCAAAATAAGTTTAATGCAATCTTGATATGGTGTTCTATCTGTTTTTCTTTTTTATTCTTGTTTTTATTTCTTTTATTTCTCTTTTATACTTGCTCTTTGTCTTTCGTGCACTGTGTGCGTCTTGGATTATTAAAAAAATATTGGTTGGTTTTCAAA